CGAGTCCATCCATTTAACACGTCACTAACTCGCGACCCTACTCGACGAGTTGAGGCACCAACGCGTCGAGTCACCCAAGAAAACTCATACTTGCATATAGAAATGTTATTCCTCTGAAATCAAGATGTTACAGGTAGGCCCTTGTGCTGCCAGAAGGCAAGAAGTTAACATATCGAAGTTCGGTCAATGAAAGATAGCCGAATTTGAATTTTGTTTCTCCTAAACCTTGTCTTATGAATATAGGTTGGAAATGAAATTTATGCATGGATAGGAACGTATGTACATTCAAATCTAGGTGGAAAAGGTTTCACTCTAATTCATGTTAATGATTATGAGGAAACACTTCCACTAATAGATTTTTAAGATCTGATAAAGATCAATAAGGATATTGGTTATGTTAATTGCATTCTTAACTTCACAATATGATTACGACATCCCTCTTCATATTTTAAATTGTGAGGAATGGCAAAGAATCATTTAAATATTTGATAGATATATCTATCAAGTTTTGAAAGGTTTAAAAACACACATATGATATCCAACTAAGGTGTATAAGATTAAGAAGTCTAGTTAGAGACTTAACGAAGCATCGCGTAACAGAAATATGCACTTCTATAACAAAGTTAAAGGGTATTGAATTTTAGAAGTCCATTTGATTTCTAGGTACATATCAAAGATAGTAGGAGCATAATTATTCTGTTGTTATTGCATGCTGACAATACTATTTGTAAGGAACAATGTCTCCAATTCGCAAACTATAAAGTTCGAAATTGTTTCTCTATGGTGAACTTGAGGGAGAGGGCACTCATACTCTATTTCAAGTATAAAGGGTTAGATCAAATGGCTTAATAGAACTTAGTCAAATACATATATGAATATCATGTTGAAATGTTTGAACATAGGAGATTCGATATATGGAAATATTATACCAAGAAATTGAACATATATCAAGTCTTTATGTAGGACATAATGAATCGAGTCCCACATGCTTCAAATATAGGATCGATCACATGTGCTATAATATTCGTTTATTCTAAATTGTTCAAATTCCTTTAGCATTAAATGAAAAAGATTTGAATTTTGTGTGACTAAATTTGTTAAACAACTGTCAAGAACATTTTGAGTTTTTACCAAAGACCGGTTGCTTAGTATGATATTCTTGGTAAGGACCGTAGTGATACATTTTGGATTAAGATGATTCTTGGTCAGAATTGATGGTCATATGGAAATATGGAAACATTTTCATAATGGGAGATGTTTGTAGAATCTACACGTGAGTCAGAAACTTTAATGCAAGATAAGTGTTCAAGGAGCGTACCTTGAATTTGAGACTTCATAACCATGGAATTGTTTCTAGTAACAAGTTTAATGGAACATTATGTAATGTTGAAGGCTCGGTCTCTATGAATTTAGAACCTCGAGATCACAGAATGACAAAAGCATGGCAAGTTAGAATTTCAATACATCTTAGAAAGTGATAAGAATTTGGAATTGTGAAATAAGCATCATTGGAGTAATATCCAATCAATCTGTTCACAAAGGAAGGACTGTAGAGAGGCATAATATACATGTTCATAACATGGTATGCCTGATGTTTTCTAATTCAAGTGGTTAGTTGATTACTTGAAACATTATACAATGAACAAATTCGTAATTGTTATGGTGATTAAATGAGAGGGATTTATTTATATTAAATGGGTATGATACCATAGTTAATTAGTTTATTATTGTTTTTCACTTTTCATGTTTACTTCCCTAAGTAATTTAAATATTATTCAAAATTTCACAGTCGTTCATACTTTCGGAAGTAAGTAGTGAATTAAGGTTGTCATGAATCGATTGTAAATTGTCCGTAGTGAATGGACATTGCATGAGATTGCTCCAATATTCATGAGTACATGGAAATATGGATTTTAAGTATTGGATAAACTAACGCTTATAGATTACTTCATGGATTTGTTCACAAGTAATTCTAATATGATAATATCTTCTATTCTTCAAACAAAGATATATAAGTCATATTTTGCAAATCAGTTATGCATTGGTTTACTCCAATAAATCTTGTAACTGGGTGTTATAAAATTCCATGCATGATTTGGTGAGTAAAATGACTGATTATATAGTCAAATTTTATTTGTTCCTTTTTCCTTAATAGGAAAAGCGATATATTTTGGCCCTCGATGATTTGATTTGATTTATAAGAACTAGGTCTGGTCTGGACTAAATTGATGTGTTCAATTTTCTAGTCTGACATTTGATCACAAATCAGGAAATCGGGAAACAAACAAAGGAACATGAAGTTGATCATTTAATCCATGACTCTATTTATATGTTATCTTTTAGAATGATTGGATAACTGATCACTTATCTTAGGGCTGATGTTTGATTTGAATCAGATTTGGGCAGTGGCTTTGGAAAGCACTCTTTGTTGTTTGTTTATACTTGCAATTGTAGTTATAGACGTATCCAAGTGGGAGACTGTTGGATTAAGGTGTCTAAGCTTATAACTAAATTAGTATAAACTTGCAAATTGAAGCAAAATCCTTTTTAGGTTGCCCGCATCACCATAATAGCTAGAAATGATATTATGAGAGTAGAAAATGATTTTTTTAATATATTAATTAGAAATAGAAATTGATTTGTTAATTTATTATGTGATTAATAAATTAATGTGAGACCAATAATTAAATAACTGATTTGTTTATTTATATGATTAATAAATTAACAAGAAATCAATTAGAATTAACTTTTTATTAATCAGAATTAATTTGGAATTAGTCTGGGATTGATTGGAACTAATTAAAGGTGCAATGGTGAATTGTAATTGTTCAACAGTTGAACAAAATAGGCAATTCTAGAACCATCTAAGGGAGTACGGGTTTGGGAGCTCTTTTAGGGTTTCCAAAAGCCTACTAATAAAGAAATGATTTGAATTGAGATTAAATCCATTATTTAATTAATTCAATTTTTTCTTTGTGCCTAAATTGCCTAAATAATAAATAGGATCCCTTGGGCATCAAATTTCGTTCATGCTCTTCTCGTAAGGCTTAGGAACGAAATTTCTATCCCTCTTATCTCTCTTCTCTTTATTCTAAGGTTAGAGGGTTTTGGGTGTGAGCCATTAGCGGCATCAACTTTTTGGTGCTAAGCTTTCCGAGACCATCAACCACAAAGGATTGAAGTGATTTGTTTACTACAACAAATATGTAACCCTAATCCCATGTATATTTTGATTATAATAGGTTTCCCTTAGGGTTCTTGATGTTCATAGTTTACTGTTATCAATTAGAGAAAACATATATCCTTTATAGGTTGCATGTGAACTTAAGGGTTAATATTTTTCTTTATATGTATTTTAATAACCTATAAAACCCTTTATCCATAAATACGATTCGTAATATGAAGAGGGATGTCATAATCACATCACGAATCTATTTTGGGTAGGTAAAGCACTTTACTGATTTCAATCAAAATGAAACTCCTTGATATTTTGAGATTCATTGAACAATCAATGGTGTGTTAATCTTAGATTATGCTATTCGATTTGTAACTGGGATGTCAAGGATCACAAATAAGATGTGAATAACCATGAAAACCCCTAAGACATCCTCGAGATCGTTTATGATCTCACATTGATGTGCGGTTTAACCACACACGTTCCATCAACAACAATAAATATCGAGTTTGTGCCATCATTTCATCTTTGTAGTCCCACATTAGTGTGTCGGTTAACCACACACGCTCCACTAACTACTCACAAAGAAATGATGTGTGTTTTCATGGATTATCATGCAATTTCACATTTTTCCTAAAGTAAATAGAGTGAGATTTTTTATAGAAGGTTCTAGTACTTTTACATTATATTTTGACAAAATTACAAAAATGGTCCATGTGGTTTTCCAAAAGTAACAAACTTAGTCCCTATCTATTTTTCTTGATGCGTTTGGGCCTTGTGGTTTGTAAAAGTTGCAGTGGAGGTCCTTTTTCATAACTCCGTCTGTTTGTATCCATTTGGCTGATTAAGTTAAAAAAATATGGGGGTATTTTGGTATTTTCACATTACCTTCTCCACCCTCTTTAAAAAGCCGTAGCCAACGTCCAGAAAAATCAAGCTACCATCTCTGAAAAATCGAAGCTCTCCTCTCTTCCAAGAATGGTGATTTGTACGTGTGGAAGTGTTGCTGTGAGAGTCACATCTTGGATGGACCTCAACCCAGGAAGGCGATTCTGGTCTTGTGCTCGAAACGGTCGAATCTGTCCATTTCTTGGATGGGTGGACGATCCAATGTGCCATAGAGTTGTGGAGGTGAATCCTGGCTTGCTAAGGAAACTGAACAATGTTCAAATGATGTTGAGTAAAGCTCGTGCAGATGTTGTGAAGCTGAAGTGGATGCTTCTTCTGTCTTGGTTCTTTTTTCGTCTATATATATGCACTAAGTAGTAGTTGGATTTGGGGATGTATTTGGTCAATGTATTTTGGGGTGTATTTCAGATATGTAATGTCGGATGGGTGTATAGAATATTACCAGTTGATTTTGGGATGGGATCTCATGTATTAGAATCTTAATGTAATGTATGGTTTTGGTTAATCAGTTTAATGGTCTTTTGTATTGTGGTAATTCTAAATCATTGTTTTTTGTCATTGAGCAAGAATGTTGGAATGGAATGGAAAGAGTTTTGTTCGTTAATCAAACATTGGAATGGAATGAGAAAAATAAAAGATCAAAACATTATAAGTAAACAATGGAATGGAATGAGTTTTGGTCATTTATCAAAAAACAATGGAATGGAATGAGCTTTGTTCATTTATCAAACAATGGAATGGAATGAGAAACACATAAGATCAAAACATGATAAGTAACTAGAAATGTTCACCGCATTGATCATTACAACCAGAAATGTAGCATGACATAATATGGATAGTATCAACTTAATTACATCACTAATTTAGGTAGTTGCAAAAAGATGTAATTATCTAGATTTAACATGTTTGAAAAAAGCATCAATAAAATTTTATAAGCTTAAACAAAAGGTATCCAAATAACTTGATTAGTCATGCTTTCATGTGTATCCAACTTCACTTAGGTCCCACTTTCTGCACTTGAGGCTTTTTTCCCTTGTCCATCTTCTTTGCTATCAACCCACCCACTAAAGCTTCACTTGATCCACCCACTGAACCTTGAATTGTTCCACCAACTGCATCTTTACTTGATCGAACCACACCACCTTGACTTGATCCACCTACTACTCTCTGACTTAACCCCCCTTGTCCCTTACATGTTCTAGAATTATGTCCTCTATTATGACACTTGGAACAAGTAACAGTCAAGAATTTCCTAGATAGGTTTGTTGACTGGTTAGTAGGCTCATCTATAGCCCTCCTCCTCTTTTTCTTGGCCCTTCTAAACTACAAAAATAGTAAGGAAATCATAAATCTGGATGAATAATAAACTATGTTAACTAACATTCAACTTACTTGTATGTGATGTCTAGCGGGTATAAGAGTGGTTGGACATCTAGATTTTGGCCACATACTCCTGCTGATGTGCACGAAAGTACCCATTAATTTTAATATTTATAACCTAACAAACTTAGACTAACTATGCACTTATAGGCAGTGTACCTAGTCAGATTACAGTATAGCTTAGGTAAGTCGGGTGTCGATCACAGGGAACGGTGGATTAATTTAATATATTTGATTATAGGTTACAGGTCACACGAAAAGAATAAAAGAAATAGTTTAATAAATCTCAAACTAATAATTAATTAACAACTCTCGATAAACTAACAGGAAAACAAATCTCTTCAGGTACTTTGGTTTAGACAAGTTACACCTTAAAAACATAGACAATTGCATACACAAGGTCATTTATTCATGTTCACCTATTCCTAAAATGATTAGATTCGCGTTCACTATAACTAATCCTTTAGCAAACAACTCAATTCAAACAGTGATCAATTGATTAAACTAACATGCTTCCTAGTGTTCAGTTCGTATCAAGCAAGACTTGCAAATATAGTTAATCAAATTAGACATTCAATTAACCTCTTGTTGATGGTCATTAAACAAGGCTCACACATTAACTTACTTATTCCCAAGTTAATCCTAGTTTCACATTCGTTATTCCTAGACTTATAATCTCGATGGTCATCAAAATCATAAGAGACAAGCAATCAAGCATATGTTCATACAACTCAATTCACTTAATAATTAACAGCAAATAATTATCATTAATACGTAAGGATCTTTAACAAGCTTGGCAAGATAAATTAAACACAAACAAACTATTCAATATAGCAATTAGTCTAATAATCAAAGCTTCATTCAATCATAAACACAAAGTATAAAAGGTTTTTACACCCAAGTCAGAAACTAAATACAGAATAGTAACACAATGGAATGCTAAACATGGTCACGTTAACAACCCATATGATTACCGACACGTATCCGCTCTCCAACCCTTCCGATCTCCGCTCCCGTTAGCTTAACGGCCTTCCGGCCGCCTTCTAGACCCTCAAAACGGCTTAACAGAAGTTAATTATCGATTAAATTAGGTTAGAATTCGAATCCCCCCTCCTGGTTATCTGCAAAATCGACTTTTATAGCCTTTGTAGCCGACTTACGTACGTTGGGCGTAAGTCGGATTACGCGAGGCGTACTAAGGATCACTACGCGATTGAACTTATCCGAGACCAACCAGTACGTGGCGCGTACCCTTTAGTTACGCGGGGCGTAAGTTGCTTTGGTCGTTACGCGGGGCGTAATCACTCCTTCAACATTTTTAATTTCTTTAAGCTTCTAAGTCCGGTTTCCGCTTCAGTCTTTTCTTTTGTGCTTTATCGACAACGAATAGCTACAAAACATAATTCAAAGCATTATGAGTACTTTTTAGTTCTAAAAGAGAATAAATAAGGCCAAAATATTAAGATAAAGTGCATATATATATATATATATATATATATATATATATATATATATATATATATATAAATACACATATCAAAATACCCCACACTTAGCCTTTGCTTGCCCCCAAGCAAATTTACTTTTATTTTACCAATATTGCACTAAACAATCCATTTAAAACTCAGCCATTATGCCAAGACCTCAACACATGCATTTGTGTCTAAAATTTTCCTAAAGTACCCCCCCATACTTTAAATACTCACAATCTTCATAAACATTTGCCCACTTTTTCCGAACAATGCTCATTTTATGCAACCCTCCGAATCCATCCGCAGAAAACCTCCTAACCTCAAGGTATTTTTAGTTGAGCAACCTAAGCATGCATAATCTAGAATTACAATTTATGATACCACTATGGAGCTTCTTAGGAATTCTTCACTTTCTTGACAATTTGATCTTTGATTTCTTTGAATTCACCACCTTATTTGATTTGATTTCTTGGTATCTTCAACTTTTGAATTTCTTGGAATTTTGATCTTTTGATCTTCACTTTATTTTCTCCAAAATTCTTCAAACTTTTTCGTAATTCTCTCTTCTCTTTTTTTTTTTACATGTACATCTCTTTTTTCACTCAAAACCTACATGCTTAAGCAGAGGCGCTCAACCTCAACCTTTATTGGTTAATGATAATAATTTTCCTGGATACATTTCAGGTTTAGGCTGCTAAACATATTGCATCCTTCAAACCGAGCGGGGTTATGTTTTTGTTCCATGATTTCACTAAAATAAGGGAAGCCACAAATGCACTATATATAACGTATATTGGCTCAACTAAACATTTGAGTTCTCATCGGATCATTTCATACAATATTAGCAAAATTTTAAATTATCACTAGATTTTTCTAAATTAAACTATTATTTCAAGTTTTCTTTTAAATTTTTAAATTTCCCTAAATCTAGCAATTTCCAACTATTATTTCATTTTTATAATTTACTTTTACCGACCCCCTACCCCACACTTATTTCATACAATGCCCTCATTGTATGCTAAAACAAATTAAGAACATAAAAAGGGAGAAAAAGGAACAGACTCCCCTGGGTAGTTGTGGCGAGATCGAATGGGGCTACTACAAGTTGCTCCAAATATCGCTGAAAGACTAAAAACTGGAACTGCTGCTTCTGAATTTGCCGAAAAATAAAATCAAGACCGCCATCTTCAAAAATGTGGTGCAAAATATTGCAAATAAATGCAATGTATAATAACCATGACGTGGGAAAGTGTCAACCACGTCGTCTCGTCAAGAATGACATCCTCTTCTCGCGATGAAAAATCCCCCACAACATAGGAAAGTGTCAACCATGTCGTGGCAGCCGGGATGATACTTCTTCCTCGCATCGAAATACAACTCTAATAAATATGCACCCCACACTTATGACAAATTGTGGGTCTTTACTATAATCTTCGAACTCTCACACGGCTCTCTCTAGCAACAGTTAGACCTAGCTGCTGAACTTACTGCCAGCTTTCTAAGAGCGAAAATTCTGCAGAGATCTAAACAACCAAAGAGCATCAACATGGAAAACAAAAGTAAAACAAACTAAATTAAAGATTAATTACACACCAAATAAAAATACTAAACTAAACAAAAAATAACACAAAATAAAAATAAAAATAAAAAGGATAACTAAATCACTCATCATCTCTATCATCATGCTGCTGTGTCCCAGAAGTACCGGTACCATCATATCGTGATTGAAATGGTGGTGGGTAGGGAAGCGAATACTGAAACCCCTGGTGGGCAAAGAATGCGTTCAACGCATTCCCTTGCCACTGTTGTTGCCTATCCACATGTGCAACATACTCACTAAGGTTCTGGACCCTCGTGTCAAGACGATCAATGCCCTGAGCTAGGTAGTGCATATCAATCTCCGGATCAGGTCCCTGTTGCGCTCCCCGAGTAGCAGGTCTACGCCGCTGGACCCGTCACGGCTGTGGCTCGGCGGCACCCTCCTCATCCGCCACATCATCTGCTCGTACTCTCAAGACACCATCTCCACCCCGCTCCAATACACGCATCGACTCTAACAGCTGAAGACTCATCGGCCTCATGTCGTGGAACACCATCGATCTCGTGATCTCACGCGTCAACAACTAATATGCCGGGGCTAATCGCGTGATAAAATGCCCTCCGCAAATCGGGGTGTCCCCCCGAAGTCCCCTGGCCCTCCGTCCCAAATATACAGCTAAAGCAACTGGAAGGTTCAGGTGCCTCCCTGGAGTAACAAGCACCCATAGGAAATACAAGTCCGTCGAAGGCACTCTCTCACTATTCTTGTGATGTGTGAGAGACATAGAAATCAATCGGTGCAACATTCGGTAAGTAGTAACCCGAATCATCCCCCCTCGTACGGTAGATGGTGTATAAACTGCCCCTGTAATCTCGGCCCAAAAAGTGTTCTCGTTATAGTCATCTGGCCGCTCCGTAAGACAATCAGCAAGGAATGTCGGGAAGTGGACACTCCTCGTCTCATCGGTTGTGTAAATACCCACTCGAGTCGCAAGCTCTATCACGCTGCATTCCCGGCTCACTCCACCCAGTCTGAAGGCAAAAGTTGTCCTGTCATCGGGTGCCTTCCTAGGATCATAGGAAACTGTAGCGTAGAACTCCAGCAAAAACTCCCGATAAACAGGCTCCTGGATCCTGAACAAACGTGCCCATCCCTGACACACGAACAAATCCACACCACTCGCGTCCGAGTGTGTGTATTGCAAAAATTCCTGGATCAATGCAGCTAGTCCAGTCCTGGTAGCCAATTCCCAATCGAATGATGGTGCTATATCAATCTCTTTGGTGAGAAGCAAGCTCAAGTTGGTGACATAACGCGCCCAGGTAGCATCGTTCAGCGTTTGCGGAAATTGTAAAAAACGATGATCGGTCACATCCTCGGGTGGGTTGGTCCTTTGCGTCCTTCGAGCCATAATCTGCACAAATACACACAAACACAAAACCAAACACAATTTCAAAGAATTAACAAGTTTTTAAACCAAAAAATTGGGGTTGGGTAGGGTCTGTACGCTGGGCGTACGTCCAGGTGCACGAATCTGTGTTCCAGTCCCTTTGCTTGTGCTAAAGTCATAATCCATATCCAAATAAACACAGCTGGGGTAACAACACAATTAATTTTTAACATTGCATGGTCCAAAGGCAGTAGGAGAAAAATCGGGACCACCCTTAAAAATCAATCCTTCGTAATCTCTTATCTATTCAAAATTAGTAAACATTTAACAGGGAATCTGCATAGAGTAGTCAAAGAAATCGAAGTCAACAGGTTACGCTTGGCGTTCGTCCCTGAGGTCAAATCGATGGGTGTGGGACGGGATTAAGACCATATTAGGTCCTAGGGTTCAGTTAATTGACAGAAATCGATCCATTCAAGCCCTAATCAACACATACATATACCAATTTATTTAAGACCTTAGACACCTTAATCTAACGGATATTTCAGCGGTTTGCAATCCATAAACTCTTTGAAGGTACTACCTTGACAACCAACAACCCCTCCAAACAGCTCCCTCGTAACAGGCTCGCTCGTAACCGACTCTTAGGGAACCAAGCGGCTCCTGTAAATCTCCTCAACAACTCCCCCCCCCCCCCCCTCGCGCATCAGCACCCTCTACAGGTAGTAGTCATGCGGCTCACATTGCTCGCTGCAACTGAGCAATATGTGCATCTTTAGCCTCCATCTCATCATCACATCTCCTCAATTGTTACTTGAGATCAACAATTATGGTAGCACTCCTTATGATGCGCTCTCTCCGAGAAGGCTGGTTGTGTTCACCACGAGTCAGCGATGCTCGTGGTTGACGGCCAATCGATAGGTTCTGGAAAATAAGGATCCTAGCTCGATAATACAAGCCCATAATATATCCTCAAGTGTGTAAATGGTTCTCTCGCTCTTCCAATCGATATGGGATGATACGCAGTACTGAAATGAAAATGTGTTTCCAGATCCTTATGAAATCGCTTCTAAAACATGGAAGTAAACCTCACATCCCTATTAGATACCACGGGAACCAACACCCCATGGCGAGAAACTATTTCCTGAACATAAATGCCAACCATCTTCTCCGCTAAGGAACTCTCCTAGATGGCAATAAAATGGGCACTCTTGGTCAATCAATCCATGATGACCCAGATAGCATTCAATCCACAGGCAGTCTTGGGTAGTTTGGTAATAAATCCATAGTAATACGTTCCCACTTCCACAACAAGATATCCAAATGATGTAACTTGTCGTGAGGTCTCTGATGCTTAGCCTTGACCTTTATACAGGTTAAACACCTTTCCATATACCACATGGCCTCCCACTTCATGCAGGGCCACCAGTAATCATGCCTCAAATACATATACATGTTTGTCGGCCCAAATGAATCGAAAACTTCGATTTATGGGCCTCCTCCATCAATATCTATCGAGTCCCAACCGAATAAGGGACCCAAACTCTACCATGTGAAGTCAACAAACCCCGACTGTCGATATCAAAAGTTGAAACTTGATTCTCACTTTTCCGGATCTCTTCTTTGATTGCCTCAACCTGCGCCTCCTTAATCAATTCCAACACTAGTAATTAGTCTCCTCAGATAGGAGTGTTAGTCGCTTTGTGACTCAAAGCATCACCCATCACATTGGCCTTAACCGAATGGTACAAATTTTTGCATCATAATCATTCACCACATCAAGCCACCTACGCTACCCATATTTTGATTTGGTTGATCTATTAGATACTGCAAACTCTCGTGATTTGTATGGATAGTACACCAAACTCCATACAAATAGTAACGCCAAATCTTGAGGACAAAAACCATTGTCCTTGACTCTAAGTCGTGAGTAGGGTAAGTAATTCGCCTCATGAGGCTTCAATTGCCTCGAATCGTAAGCAATCACATGACCCTTCCGCATAAGCACCGCACCCAATCCCATAATCAAAGTATCGTAGTAAACCACAAAATCTTCAACACCCTTAGGAATGGTCAACACCAGTGTCTCATATAACTTTTGTCTTAGGATCCCAAACGATGCTTGCTGCTCAAGCCCCAACTACAAGTGACATTCTTATTCGTCAAACTAGTCAGACGCACTGTTATTTTCGAGAAATCCTAAATAAACCTCTGATAATACCCAACTAAACCAATAAAACTTTGAATATTGAATGGAGACTTTAGAACCTCCCACTACATCACTTCCTTAAAAATTGTATTTCCATAAAAAAAAAATGATGTTAGTAAACCAAAGCCAATGTTGTTATAATTATTGATAGATAATAAGATGAAATTAAATAATAGTTTATCAATCAAATATCGTGTGTATTATCAAAAATGTAACTTGGACTCTTGGAGAATGATGAGATGGTATATTGGTAGTTTTTCGTTATTGGCAACCAATTCGTTGACTTTGTTCGTATAAACACTAAAAGAGGATTGTTTGATTCCAATTCCGTTGTCCATGCCCATACCCATGCCCCCTTCAAGGGTATGAAAATGTAATTACACATAATCATATAAGGGTATTTAAGTCTTATCATGACAAGTGGTAATGGTGTCCAGTCTGTTTCCTTGACCAATGCACCCCCACTGAATTTACTCACTCCGATGAAAATCCATATTTTATAAATAAAAATTCAAATTTTCACAAAACTCAAGAAGATCATTTATTAAACTAAACTTCCAATTTCCAAATATACAGTAGTTTCCCTCTATATATATATATATATATATATATATATATATATATATATATATATATATATATATATATATATCGATTTCTTAATAATTCTTGGGTCATTAGTAAATATTTTTAATATCAATATGATTGGGATATCTCTAGATTATAAAAAATTACATAAATCAATATTTCTATAAATTTCTTTTTTTCTTTTTTTAGAGTTTTAAACGAACGTATGTGGAGGTGCTTAATGTGTCCAGTCTGTTCATTTGACCTCACAACCTTCAATTATTTAATTAAAGAATAAAACTTTTTCTCTAATTTCACTGCCAACCATAATTATTTGTATGACTTTTTATTCATTTAAAGCTTAATGCTTTTGACTAAACAATTTTACAAACTTTTTTTTTTCTGCAGTGACTGTAAACACCCATATCGGTTACACAAACGTTTATAGATAGAATCGATTTTTGGAAACTTTAAAACTAAAGAAAATTAAAAAGAAAAAGAAAAAAAAAAGTTGTAGAATTTGCCCCTTTCATTTCAATTTTCATGCTTGTGTTTTACTATTTCTTTCTTAGATATCACCTACTACTGATGAGTCCATGCCTTCTTATTATCTTCCCTACCACTCACATTCTCAGAATTCCATGTGAGTAGTTGTGTTTTTCCCTGCAACAATTCCCTTCAACTTCAAAAAAACACCCCTTTTTTCATTCTTCAATTCCAATTTAAGGGATCTGTTGTTCTTCATCATAGATACATACCCTTTTGCAAAACAAATCTCACACATTCTTATTTCATGATTCTTCAAATGGGTTCATTTCCAATTCGCTTCTTTTATAAGAGATCTAGGGTTTAGACTCTTGTTCTTCATTGTGTTTGGAGATTAAGCAAAAAACTGAATATTCTTTGAACTTCTCAGATATCTACACTTTCAGGTAAAATCTACAATTAATGTTCATTCTTTTTCATACCCTTTCAGATTCTTGTTATTATTATGCATTTAAACTATTGGTTTTGGTTTTGGTTTTGGTTTTTGTTTTTTTTTTATACCTTGGAAGATCTAAGTTTCTGTAGTGTGTGAACAGAGAAATTGTGTTCACAACTGATGTTTATCTTTCCAAACCAGAACTTGAATAATTTCGGGTTGTTTTGCTTTAAAGACATGGAAATTTAAGGTGATATTAATCTGCACAAACCGATTGCATATACATTGTTTGCGATTTGCCCAAATCAATAATCAATAGTTTGACTATAAAAATTTCTGGAAATTTACAATCATATTTGAGAATCTTAATTTCAAAACTTTACATTCTGATATGACTAAATTATTCATCTTTTAAAGATTGGCAAAACTAATCATCTGGTTATTTTCTAGGTAATCTTTTTAAAATTTCTCAAAAAATATTGTCTTCAAATTTCTTCAAGATTTAATTTAACTTTTTTTTTTTGCAAAGCAAGATTTAACTTGTTCGATGGTGCATCTTTGATGAGTTTATGAACTTGATATTTCTGTCGTGTGGTACTCATATTCATCTCCATGTTTCTTGTATATCGAGCTATAGTTTCTTCTTGTTTTATGATTATAATGTTTCTGAAATTGTTCAAAGAATTTCTTTACAAGTTCATAAAAAGGATTATGATTGCGAAACAAAAATTTGGTTTTCAATCTAAATTTCAAGAAATCAAAATCAAAATGGTCCATTTGGTCAAAGAAGTTCCTTTTGACCAAATTAAAAGAAAGAGTGCATCCTCTTCCTCACATAACACGTTTTTATCATTTTTTTAGTTGCAGGGTATCTATCTCCACTTATATATACATATTTACAAAATGGGTCTGAAGAAGGAAATGACAGAAGAAATCCCAGCTTTAAATCTTAAAGTATGGCACCTTATAGCAATATTCGTAGCATTATCTATCGTTATTGTTCTTTCATTACTTTGGTGTTACACCTTTTCAAAAAAGAAATCCAAGAACATAAAAGACAGGAGGCTTCCAATTACTCAAAAGCCAACTGTCGTATCAGCAGAGATCAAAGACATAAGAGTTGACCAAAATTCAGCTAACACATTAACAGGCCAAGACGCAAATCCAAATTCTCACACTTTGTGGGACAAGTTCAGTGACAAAGATAAAGATTCAGACAAGCTTTTAACACGTCCAAGTGTTGATAAGAGTAAATTCGGTGATAACAGCAGTCAATCGGGATCTTTTAATCATTTAGATAAAGAAGAAATGGGTCTTGATTCAGGTGAAAAGGGAAGATCTTCTTCACATCCCATGAGTGGTTCTTCTCCATTATCTGGTTTACCTGAGTTTTCTCACCTTGGTTGGGGTCATTGGTTTACTTTGAGGGATTTAGAGGTTGCAACAAATCGGTTTTCAAAAGATAATGTCGTTGGTGAAGGTGGGTATGGGGTTGTGTATCGTGGTCATCTTGTTAATGGGTCTCCTGTTGCTATCAAGAAGATTCTCAATAACGTGTAAGTTTCTCTATTCAATCGGGATCTCTCAAACGTTTGCTTCCTGTATATAAATTATGCCAAATTGTCGAGTGGAATTTTATCTTTTTGATGTTTGAATCGTAGAGGACAAGCAGAAAAGGAGTTTAGAGTTGAAGTTGAAGCAATTGGTCATGTTCGCCATAAAAATTTAGTCAGACTCCTTGGCTATTGCATTGAAGGAACCCACCGGTAATTTCTTATTTTTTAATATCTTTTCATATTCTTCAATCTTTGGATTTTGCGGAAATGGTTTCTTTGAAACGGCGAATAAATGATATTAATAACCAAAAAACGAATAGCAAGATGCTATGGAAACGTACAGGAAAACGAAACAGCAACGACATAGTTACAGCAGAAAAAAAAAAAAAACATATGGAAACCATGTAACAATAGTAATCAAAATCATAGCGCACATCTTTTTGTTGATGATTTTGATAATATTTTAGGTTGTTGGTTTACGAGTATGTGAACAATGGTAATTTAGAGCAATGGCTTCATGGGGCGATGCGACAGCATGGATATCTTACTTGGGAGGCTCGTATGAAAGTTATTCTTGGGACTGCAAAGGCGTAAGTGTATTCCATTTTTTATTATATTTATAAATAAAATTGTTAAATGATGGGGGGGATTTATTGCAGCCTGTCATACTTACACGAAGCGATCGAGCCGAAAGTGGTGCACCGAGATATCAAATCCAGCAATATACTTTTAGACGATGAATTCAATGCTAAATTGTCGGATTTTGGACTTGCCAAGTTATTGGGTGCTGGGAAAAGTCATATCACAACCAGAGTGATGGGTACTTTCGGGTAAGCAAGCTAATAGTAATAGTAGTAAAAAAATTGTTTGTCATATGTTTTCAAGTGTTTGGAATCGGTGAAATATTTTATTTATAGGTATGTAGCTCCAGAGTATGCAAATAGCGGGCTTTTGAATGAGAAGAGTGATGTTTATAGTTTTGGGGTTTTACTTTTGGAAGCGATTACAGGAAGAGATCCAGTAGACTATGGTCGTCCAGCAGATGAGGTATGTGTAATGTGTTGTTGGTTTGGTTGACTTGAAAAAAAAAAAAAAAAACTGGAATGGAGTTTGATGTTTTTGGGATATTATTCTTCACAGGTGAATTTGGTGGATTGGTTGAAAATGATGGTGGGAAACAGGAGGTCAGAAGAGGTGGTTGACCCTAATATTGGTACCAGACCATCAAGAACCGCGCTTAAACGGGCTCTTTTGACCGCTTTGAGATGTGTTGACCCTGATTCTGAGAAGAGACTTACAATGGGCGAGGTCGTGCGCATGCTTGAATCTGAAGACTATCCCTTAACACGACAGGTGCTAACCTTTATTTTTACCTCTTATATTTGATATTCCTTTCTTTATTTCTTGTTTCTTGCCATTATAAGTGGCCTTCCTCTCACCAGTTGAGATTCAGCCAAAAAAAATCTTCCTCATATTTAGCTCTGGCACGCTTTGTTTACCCAATTTTTTTTTTTTTGTTTTGTTGGTATTGAGTAGGGGCGAAGGCGGCGTAGGAGTCAAGCAAATGCTCAAGAACCGGAGTCACAGACTGAGAACTCGGATGCAGAAAAGGGTACCAAATAAAACTTTGAAGCCATTTGCGGAAGCTCACAAGTACAAAAATTATGGAAAACGCAGAAGAACATGATTCATAAATTGAAACCTAATACAAAACACACGTCCTTTTGTGTCATTTTACGTGTAGATGTCGTTGGAGAGATTGATTTGTGTATGAAGAAGAAAATCAGATTTAAAAGATTTACTTGTTTGTGTGTGTACAGTTTCATTGTATTGGTGTGATCAATATTAGATTGGCATGACCATAGTTTTTTGTAGTATGATTTTTGATGCAATATTTCCTTCTGCCAACAAAGATTAATGGATTTCTTTATACAATATAAATTTCATTCTATTATTTTATATGGATATGGATAGTATACTTGCTTCTTCTTGAGCTTACTTAAGGTGCAATCTGGGCAAAAAAGTCATAACTTTAACAATATTAGTAGAAGCTAAGCAATTGTTTGAAAAGAAGCATTGTTAATGCTGACTACTGACTGCTCATCTTATTAAATTTTCAATCTTGATTACTACTACATTCCTAAATCAGCTCTGTTAGAATGTCAACATCTCATTCTGTGTTAGGTCTAAATATTAAATCTTTATTTCCAATTCTATGAATCTAGTTTTCAGGAAACGTCATTCATCTGAAATATGTAAACAAGAGAATATGCATTTGTTTCAGTTTACATTTAAGATTAATCATTAAGTAAAGGTTGACCTAAATACAACTTGTTTGGTTCGTCAAACAGGCAAACTTTATAAAATTGGGTTTTTATAAATTATAGTATTTTATTGATTAGACTTGGTTGCATGAATTGTACAAGCTACCTTTTTTAAGCCCACCTTTTTTTATTTAAATTTTAGTTGTCCACGTTTTGATCATTAAAGTATATAAACTTTTTCAATTAATCTTATGGTTTGGATATATATTTTTTATTTGACCACTAAACTATAAATGTGTGAAAAGAACTTGTATTTCACTGAGAATGAAATAGGTACATATACACAGAGATCCGAATGTATTGGATCTGTTACAACAAATGTGGAAGACTAGTTCTATAGTTATCTAGAAAATCAAAAGGTAATTAACATGTGTACAATATACATGAAAGATAAACGGGTTCGGATCCGGGTTATGTGTTTATATGCTCCCGCAAGATGGACGATCGTGAGAGGAGACCAATCTTGGAGGTAAGAGTGTTGAATCTGTGGCGGAGAAGGGGTTTAGTGAGTGCATCAGCTAGCTGATCGTCCCCATGGATGTGAGTTACACGAATAGACCCTTCCTGTACTTTTTCCCGGACAAAGTGAAAGTCAAGTGCTAAATGTTTCATTCGTGAATGAAAAACAGGGTTGGCCGAGTAGTGTGTAGCACTGAGATTATCACAGAAAATGGTTGGTGTAGTGTGAGATTTGTAACCGAGTTCAGATAATAAGGAGATAACCCATTGCATTTCAGTAGTGGTGGAGGCAACTGCCCTGAATTCAGCTTCAGTGGATGAGCGGGCTAGAGTTGGTTGGCGTTTAGAACTCCAAGCTATTGGATTAGACCCAAGGTAGACTATGTAACCCGAAGTGCTGCGATAAGTTTGCTTGTCACCTGCCCAGTCGGCGTCGGTGAAGGCATGGAGTTGTAGTGGGGACTTGCGCTGTATGAGAAGACCATGATGCATTGTGCCATGAAGATAATGTAGTAAGCGTTTGAGGGCTGTCCAGTGCATGTCGGTTGGGCGTTGCATGAATTGTGAGAGCTTGTTGACAGCAAAAGCGATGTCGGGTCTTGTAAGGGACAAGTATTGAAGAGCTCCAACATGTGACCTGTAATCTGTAACATTAGAAATAGGTGTACCATCATCAATAGTCAAAGGTTGAGAGCTGGACATTGGTGTGGTTGATGCCTTACAATCAGTCATATTAGCTTTGTGAAGAAGATCAAGAATATATTTGGTTTGGGAAAGAAAAAGGCCATGAGGATGATGAACAACTTCGACTCCAAGAAAGTAAGAAAGAGTACCTAGATCTTTTAGGGAAAATCGTTTAGCAAGTGAATTTATGAAAGCTGAAACATGAGAAGTGTTTGGACCTGTAATTATAATATCGTCTACATAAACGAGGATGTAAATGGGAGAGGTTTGTGAATGATAAACAAACAATGAGGAATCAAAGATTGTGGGTTTAAAGTTGGAATATAATAAGAAGGGTTTGAGTTCATTGTACCAGGAACGAGAGGCTTGGCGGAGACCGTAAATGGCTTTGTTTAGTTTACAAACATGATCTGGGAAGGTGGAGTCAATGAAGCCCGGGGGCTGGGTCATGTAGACAGACTCTGTGAGATGTCCTTGCAAGAATGCATTGTTGACATCTAACTGGCGCAAGCACCAGTTTTGAGAAGTGGCTAATGAGAGAATGAGTCTAAGAGAGGCAGGTTTAAGAACCGGACTGAAGGTTTCAACATAATCAAGTCCAGGTCTTTGATGAAAACCTTTTGCTACGAGGCGTGCTTTTAATCGATCAAGAGAACCATCAGGATGGTATTTACTACGATAGACCCATTTGCACCCAATGACATTTGGGGCTGAATCACGAGGAACCAATGTCCATGTGTTGTTGTGTATGAGAGCATCATACTCATTCTGCATAGCTTTACGCCATGAAGGTTGTTTCAAGGCTTGAGAAATGTATGAGGTTCTGGAAAAGATGAGGGAGTAGCATGGTAAAGAAGAAAGTCAGCATTATGGTATTTTGGGTTGGGTTTGGGATTTTTGCGAGTGATTATTTTGTGAGGGTTGAGATGGGAAGTAGGTGCGGAAGTGGTAGTGGGTTGATTTGGAGTAGGGTGTGAGTTGGAAGACTCATTTGAGTCAACAGATAAGGATGGGGACGGGTGAGAGGTGGATGGAGAGGATTGAGGTGAAGTGGATGTTGAGGGAGGTGGAGATGGGTCTGGAGAGGAGGGAGGAGATGGTGGTGGTGTAATATGAGGTGGTGAAGTTGGGGAAGGTGAAAGAGGAAGTAATTGAAGGTGGAGCCAAGTGTCTGGTTCAGGGATAGATGGTGGAGGTGTATTTGTGAGTCTGGTGTACGGGAAATCAGTTTCAACAAAATAAACATGGTGTGATGTGTATATTCTGTTGGTTAGAGGATCTAGAAGGTGATATGCACTTTGTGAAGATGAATAACTAACAAAGATGCATGGTTTGGAGCGAGATTCAAGTTTGTGGTGTGTATAAGGACGTAACCATGGGTAAGCAAGGCAGCCGAAACTTCTGAGTTTCTCATAGTTGGGAGTTTTATGAAAAAGCTGGAAATATGGGGAGGTGTTATTAAGAGTGTTTGTGGGTAACCTGTTGATTAAATAGGTAGCGGTGGTAACAGCAAAAGTCCAGAATTGTAAGGGCATTTGTGCATGAGATAGTAGGGATAAAGCAGTTTCAACAATGTGGCGATGTCTTCTTTCAGCGTACCCATTGTGTTCAGGAGTGTGGGGAGGGGAGGTGAGGTGTGAGATACCGCATGATGCAAAATGAGAAGATAGCTTGATGTATTCTCCTCCATTGTCGGAAAAGAACTGTTGAATTTTGACCTGAAAGAAATTTTCAACAAGTTTTTGAAATTTTATGAATGTGGTTAAAGAATCAGATTTGTGTTTCAATGGGTACAGCCATGTATACTTTGTAAAATGATCGACAAAAATGATATAATATTTGTGATCATCTATTGAATGAATTGGGGAGGTCCAAACATCTGAAAAGATGAGTTCAAGTGGACGTGATGAAGTAAGAGAAGTATGATGAAATGGAAGTTTGTGACTTTTATTAATGCAACAAGAATTACAATTGTTTTTCAAGGAAATAATTGCAGGAATAGAAGAAGCTAAGTGGTCTAAAACTCTAATATGTGGATGTCCAAGCCTGTAATGCCAAGGGATGGATTTATTGGAGAGAAAAGCCAAATGTGGATGAGTGGAACGCAACTCATAGATTCCTTGACTAGCCATTCCGTGGAGTAGCATCTGATGTGTTTTGAGATCCTTGATAAAAAAATAGAATGAATAGAATTGGATTAGTATATGATTATCAATGCATAAACGAGATATGGAGATGATATTTTTGGAGATAGAAGGAACACAGAGGACATTAGTTAATTTGAAAGATGTATTGGAAAACTTAAGATAAAGAGAGCCAATATGAGAGATTGTGAGAGACGAACCATCACCAATAACCAGCTCATCAGGTTCGTCGTAAGGTGTGTGGAGAGACAATGCACTGAGGTCATTAGTCACATGATGAGAGGCTCCACTATCAAATAACCAAGATGGATTGTTGTTGGGAGTATAGGGAACAGGGGCTTGAGCCAAGTTGACAGTGTATGTGTTGCGAGATATTGATGGCAAGGCAATCTGAGGATACTTATTCTTGAATGAATAACAGGAGGATAAGGAGTGACCTTGAGCAAAGCAGAACTGACATTTTCCAAGAAATGGGCGTGGTGAGTTATTTGTTTTGTGTGGAGCTGATGTAGGGGTAGGTAAGAGGGGAGTGTTTGTGGCTGTTTGTCGGTTGTTCCAGGATCTGGTAGGGGGTCGTTTGTTGGCAACAAAGGCAGTGGTAGGTTGGTGAATAGAGGTAGGAACTGAGGGTGTCTGAATGAGAGAGAGTTCATGATTTATTAGTTTTTCATGAAGTTCAGAGAAGGAAATGGGGGTATCACGGGCATGAATAGCTTCAATAACGGGTTTGTAGGCTGTGGAGTCTAAACCTGTGAGGATGGCATCGGTAATGTCTTCTTGATCCATTTTCTTGCCTAATATGCTTAATTCATCAACAATGGTTTTGATGGTTTGCATATAATCAGTGATGGATAAAGAAGATGTTTTGGTAGTTTGTTTGAGTCGGTGCTGTAGCTGCTTGATGTGGCCTCTAGAAGGCTTAGCATAGGTATTGGATAAGATTTTCCAAGCTTCAAGAGATGAGGTCGCACCTGTGATCAAAGGAACAATGGCGGGGGAAAGGGTACCAACGATGGCGCCAAAAAGAAGGCGGTCTTGGCGGAACCAAGCTGGGTAATCAGCGTGAGGGGTGGATACACCTTCTTCGTTGATAGTAGGTGACGGAGGGAGATGGGTACCGTCAATGAATTTGTAGAGGTCCAATCCGTAAAGTAGAGCTTCAATTTGGGTTTTCCAGCTCATGTAATTTGTGGAGGTTAATTTCAGCGAAGAAGGGAATTGGACTAGGGTTAGGGAATTTGTGGAGAGGGGAAGAGAATTGACGACAGAAGAGGAGGAATGTGATTCAGTCGCCATGAAATCGGTAGTGGGAGAAGGTGATTTTTAGAGAGAGAAAGGAGACCTGGCTGATACCATATAA